CAACTGGCTCACTTCACAGGAGCAGTTAAATTGGTAGATACACATGGAAGAGGCGAAATTAGGCAGTTTATCTCTTACTTATGAACGCAAAAGAGGAGTGGTTTTAGAGATACAGCGTAATTCAGCAGCAGGGAATGCTCTTTTTACAGCATTTCTAAGGCGCTGTGTTAGTATCTCACTGGTGTTGTCTCCTAGGTATCTGCATCTTTAAGAACAAGGCCTTTTTTGGAACTGTTGGTAACTTGGGCTGCTTTGGTTTTAGATTCATATTCTTATCAATAAACTTTTCAGGATAACCATTCTCACTTGACAGCCGTTTAATATTATTAAGTTCCTCGTCGAGACGTTCGTCCGAGCAAATCTCTCCTGCTCTGTGGACCAAGCACTTTATTAGATTGCGTTTGTATTTCAAGGGCACAAAGCTGAGAAAATGTGTGTACTGGCCCGGGTCAGTACCAAGCACTAGGACAAAACAACTGTCCAGTACTCCCTGATTTTTAATGCTTCTCTAACTGAAATCAATCCGTGGTCAAAATTGAAAAACATATAATTTCATTTATTTTAGTTGTTTTTTTTTTTGTTTTACTGTGCGGTATAGATGAGTCAGTCCGCGTTGGGTGGGTTTGTCGTTCTCATATTTGTAAACTGGTTCTCAGTGTTTGTATAACTTCAGCGGCGAAATGAAGCCAGTACAAACTGTGATTTTTAGTGGAGGTAGCTAATTCTGGTTGGCTTACAGTTACAGCTTACGGACATTGGCTTGAACAATATAGATTCTAAGATTCTAGGTCATAAAACCGGCGTAGAGTTAACAGCTATCGGTATAAATAAAGCTGTGAAAAACTTTGTAGGCTTTAGAACCGACCTTGATAATTATCATTATTATTGTATCCTTTAATTCCTAGAGGAAAATAGGGCTTCAACCGTGCGTCTCCATTGCGTTCGGTTCTCTGCTAGAGTCTTCACCTGGCTCCAAGTCTGCCCACACGTTTTCATCTCCTCTTCACATGACCTCCTCCAAGTCACCCTCGCTTTGACGACCAACTCGCCGTTTCCCTTTCGGGTTCCACTCGAGCGATGGCTTGTCTAGTGATGTCACTCACTTGATGGTTTTCTCAGAGTATGGCCAGCCAATCCAACTCCATTTCTCCCTGCTTATTTGTTGCACAATTGATTCCTGTTGGTTTGGTTCGCTCCCAGAGATCTCTGTTGCTTATCTTTTCTGGCCGGACATCTGATCTTGAGTATTGAGCGAAGACAACTGTTGATGAAGGTGTGTAGTTTGTTTGAGATGCTCTTTATGACACGCTGGCCAAGTCTCTGATCCGTATGGTAGCACTGACTTCACGCTCTAGTTGAAAATCCGGATCTCATTTTTCACGCTGAATGCTGTTGACCTCCACACAGACTTGAGAGTAGTGAAAGCTTGTCTTGCTTTTCCGATTCTTGCTTTGATATCCTCGTCAGTTCCGCCTGTAGTTGAAACGATGCTTCCCAGGTTGGTAAAAGAGGTTGTTTCTTCCAGGTTCCTCCCATTTATGCTGATTGTTGTCTGTTGTTGTTGTTGCTGTTGGTAGTGTTGGCCAGGAATCTTCATCACCTCTGTTTTCTCCATGTTCACCTGAAGTCTTATCTTCTCTGGATGCTTCCTCTGCCAACTTGTTGCTTTTCGCTTGCATATCTTCCAGTTTGTGGGAAATCAGACATAAATGTGTCATCCGCGAAGTCCAGATCCTCCAAGTTCGTTTTTTGTGTGAGTCCATTTTATGCCTGTTTCCTCATTGCCCACTGTTTGTCGCATTATCCAGTCTACTGATTATATTGACTTTGTTTTAAGTCTATAAAAGGTTCTGGAATATCGATATAGTTACCGGTGCCCATATATATATATATATATATATATATATATATATATATGTATATATATTGATCCCTAGTGTTCCTATTAGACACATCTCCACTTTGTCCTGTTCTCTTCAGTCTTCTTTGGCTGATCCCACGATTGCCCTCCGTCTCACACAGTCTCCTCCATGCCACCATCGAACCAACATTCAAATCGTCGTATTCCATTCGACTTCCACTTGAATAATCTCTGGGCACGCGATTTCACTCAACAGTCTCCCTAGTGTGTCTTTGATCCATTCCCACTTTCTTTGGGATGTTAATTGAGCAATAGGTTCTTGGTTGGTTCATCCCTAGAGTTTCATGTTGCTAATTATCTCCCCGTGGCTATCTGATCTTCAGTATGGAACCAGAAAAGGCAGCTGTTGATCAATTTCTGCAGTAGCTTGTCGGGAATGCTTTTGGTGACCCACTGGCCAAGTTTCTGACGCATATAGAAGAAGTGACTAACTTAACGTTGGTGTTGAAAATTCGAACTTTGTTCCTTATGCTATCTGAGTGCAGAAGATTTCCAATTTTATTTCAGAGTGATGTGCCTTGCCTTTCCAACTCTGGTTTTGACATCCTCATCTGTGGTGTCATCTGTAGTTGAAAAGATGGTGCCTCGATAAGTAGAGGAAGTGATCTCTTCCCAATTTATATTCCTGATATTGATTGGTGCTGGTTGTTGTTATTGGTTGGTTGGTTATCTTCATCACCTCCGTCTTCTCTATGTTCACTTGGAGTCTTGGGTTTGCTGCTTATTCTTCCAACTTCTTTGCTTTCCCCTTGTAAGTCATCCGCGAAGTCCAGATCTTCTAGAGTCTTCTTACAGGTCCAGCATATTCCCGGCTTCGTGCTCCTCACAACCTGTCGCATGACCCAGTCCACTACAGTCAGGAATATCATCGGTAATAGTAGGTAGCCTTGTTGTATTCCTATCTTCCCTTCGAATGCTTCTTTAAGTTAACTGTTGTGAATCGCTTGACAATCGAAATTAGGTTGATAAACGTTTGGATCACCCTGTAACGTTGAAGCAGCCAAAGCTGTTAAAGGCCTTTTCAAAACCCGATGAAGCTGAAGTAGTGTCCAACACTAGGTATATTTCTTAATCTAAAAATGACAGTTAGCTTTTTCGACCAAAGTGGGAGGGGACTGTAGCATTATCTGGCCATGAAAGGAGTTCCGGGAAAATATATATATATCAAATTAACCAAGGAACTACACTACAACTCATACAGTTGTTTTTCAAGTATTGGTTTGTAGGGATTTGATTGATTGGTTACAGGATTTCATCATGAGGTGACATCGGTTAGAGAAGCATTGGAAAACCTGCAGGAAGTACTGGACAGCTGCTTCGTCCCCGTTCGGGACCCTTCAGCAGTACGCAACCACCGGCAGGACTCGAACCCAGAGCTTTCTGGTTACAAGGTGAGCTCTTAGACCCGGTAGGTGCGTACCGCGTCGCAAACTAGGACGAAACAGCTGTCCAGTACTCCCTGCAGGTTTTCCAATAGTTCTCCAATTGATGTCAGCTCATGATGAAATCCTGTAACCAATCATACAGTTGTGTTGTTGTAAGAGCTTGTGGAGAGTTGTCATCTGGAGTGATGACAACCAGTAGTGTAGATGTACGAGTAGACGTAACTCTAATTTGACCTCAGTGACTTAGGAATTGACTGGTTACCGGACTAAAGTCTGACTGATGTAGCAAATCAAACCAGACACATTGACAATAACGATGAATTGTGAGTCATTGTCATGATTTGCATTATTCTCTATGAGCAACGTGTGTGTGTGTGCGTGCGTGATTTGATTGATTTCCAATTCTTATGCATCATCTCATTTTCGGTTTTATTGCGTAGAATTATTAGATCAGCTAGTGAGGTAGTGTGTGTTTTGGGGGGCGGGTTGTCTTTTGCATATCATAAATATATGTGCGTAACTAGTTTTCCGTGGTCTTTTGATTTTTTCGGTAAAAATACTGATGGAGGTGACTAATTCTGTGCTTATTTCATGCATTGTTGTATTGATTTAGCTGGTAAAATTTAATTGTTTAGTGGTGCATACTGGTGTATATACTACTGATTCATGGATATGAGTAGTTGGCGGATACCACTGGTATCAGTTAGGTGTGCTTCTTAGCCAGAATGAATTGATCCGTACACCGGTTATGGTACTATGATTGAGTATATAATTTGTGGATGGTGACTAGCAGTGGATTCCAGGACAACGTGCACTTCGTCCTATTTGGGACTCGTCAGCCGGATGTATCTGCATTTCCCAGTGAGTGATGATGTTCGCACCGAGGCACGAATCTAGTGCCCTTAGTTTCAAACGCCAAAGCGTTATCCACTAGACAACTTGGGTAATCATGAGAGCCACCTCTTGTGCAACGGGTCATATTAATTTAATTGAATTTGAGATTTTTCCCGTCGAATGATTGGACGGAAGTGCTCGGTCTCAGGTTGACATGTCGGCTTCTTATGCAGATGCTTCGACGATGTCTGGGCACTGGGTTCAAGCCTCGGTGGGAACATCATCACTCACTGGGAAATGCAGGTACATCCAGTTAGCTGACGAGTCCCAAATAGGACGAAGTGCACGTTGTCCTGGATTCCACTGCTAGTCACCATCCACAAATTAAATACAAATTAAATGCCCAGACATCGTCGAAGCATCTGCACAAGAAGCCGACATGTCAACCTGAGACCGAGCATTTCGGTCCAATCAATCGACGGGAAAATCTGAAATTCAATTGGATGATTGAGTATAGTTTAAGATATGATTCTAGGCAGTGTGGGAGCATCTTTATCCACTGGTGATAATACTGACTGACGAACTGGTTTCATTGTAGAACTTTGCACAAATGTACAGCAGTTCGAGTCGCCACACTCCCCTTCATGTAGCACACAAAGCAAGACAAGAGAGTAAAGAGAGATGCAAGAGAGAGAGAGAGAGAATCAAATGAAGTGTAAGTGAGGCAAGAAGAATAGTAGTAACATGAAAGAACAATAGAATTTTACTGGATGATGATATAACAAATCACAAAGAGTGGATTTGTTTCGCAAAAAGAATAATAATTTCTACTTTCTATTTCCTTCAATTTTTTTTTTTAGTGTTCAACAGAACCGATAACTGCTATTGAATTTCATCCATTGGATGATGCTACTTTAGTTACATGCGGGAAAGGACATTTGGCATTTTGGACATTTGATGGTTGTACGCTTAGCAAGAGAATGGGAGTATTTGAGGTTGGTTCAGTTTAAAGCTTAGTAATTAATCATTATTATTATTATTATTATTATCAAATATGCTGACGACTTGACAGTATCTTTGCCTGTCAAATGTCAAAGTGACTGCTCTTAACTTAATGGCTTTCTATCAGAAATCAGACAGTGGTCCAAGGAAAACGGTCTTACCCGAAACCCCTCCAAATGCCAAACAGTCAATTTCACCTTTAGGCATAAATCCAACCTAAACAAACTGGTTGGCTCTCACGAGGTATGCAACATAGATGGCACTGAAATAGAAACCAAGTCGGAAATTAAAAAATACCTAGGCGTCATTCTATCTTCTGATGCATTCTGGTCGTCTCATATCTTGGTGATTTCTAAGAAAATATTCCGTCTTACCTTCTACATCAAGAAGTTAAAACATTCTGGTATAACCCAACCCTTACTCCTACAATTCGTTAACTCTCGCATTCTGCCTATTATTCTCTATTGTTCCCCTTTAGTTTTTCCCAGGCTACTGAAGAAAGACTATAACATATTATTTTCTTTTCCTTCACGTTCCCCAGTGGAACATAGGGCTTCAAGCTAGTGGCTTGAAGTTTCTGTAGCAGTGTTTATTTTACAGGATGGGGTTGCTAGCCGCATGCCCAACCTTTCCTCTTTACCAGCATTATTTCTGGCTTAGCGAGGTAAAGGAGTGCGTCTGTGGCTGGGGATCGAACCCCGGATCATGTGCATGGTCGGCGAGCATCCTGACCGCCACCGACACACATAACATATTATGCAGGATGTTAAAGGTTGTCAGCAGGGTAAGCAATGTACCACTTAACCAGCTTGTTAATATTCTGGTTAACAGGCACATGGACTCATGTGAAAAATGGGCCAAATCCATTTTATCTAACTCACACCACCCTCTTCACTCACAACTCTCCACTTGTATCTCATCAGACAGAACCAGAAGCCTATATAGAAAACTATATGCTCGCACCAGCAAGTACAAAAACTCAACCATACCCTACTTAGCTCGTGTTCTGTGCGATAAAGAAAGCATTAGGCGTGACACCTATAATTCATTAAATAGTCAGTAGTACAACTGGACCTCGTCTTTCCAACTCACATCACTTATAGGTACAACATTTTCTTTCTTTCTTTTCCTTTTCTCTCTCTCTCTTTTTTCCGTTATGTGCTGCTTTGTTTCTTTCTCTCGCTTACGCCAGTAAATATGACAGCACCTACTTTTCTAACACCTTCAAACACGGTTTCAGCTTTACCTTTGCTACCGACATGCCAATGTGTTGTTGTAATAATGAACTGAGATTTCCTTAATCTATGTAGAATTCTATTTATTGATAATGTACAAACTGGATGCAATACTGTAGTAAAAATGCTGAGAATTCCATTCTGTATCACAAGTACTGTTTTGGAATAAAGCAAATTATTATTATTATTATTATTATTATTATTATTAGACACCATTTTCTGCTTTTTATTCCTGTTGGTCTTCGTTTGAATCAAACTCCGTAGGGTGATTTGAGCAGTATGTTATCGAAAGCAATTGAACATTGATAATAGTTTATTGTTTGTATAGTCGAAAGGAACTTAGTAAAGAAATATTTCTCATTTGATAGAAGCCTTCTAGAGTTCTTTTTAGACATATGTAGAAATCAAAACAAGTGCTTCAGCGAAGAAACTCCTCTTTTCAACAACGAATTTATTATCAAGCTGTACAATCGTACATATATGGTTTTATTAAGAAGTTATATCCGGTGAAAGAATTGAAACCATAGGTGTGAATGCATAAAATAATAATAATATGAAATGCAATTAAAACTAAAATGTTTGTGATTATAATCGTAGTTAAATGTCAAGTGGCTAAGCAAATTAATGTCATATATAGAATAATTCATAGGATGGATAGAACTTGAAAAAGGGTGTGCAGTTATAAGATTAGTAGACAAATAGAATAAGAATAAAAACGTTACGTAATACTGTGTGAAATTCGATAGCATAGAATTTAATGTTGTGAAAAAGGAGTTGATTCAGGATGACAAGTGGAACAAGTGAAATAATACTGGGGACAGTTCAAAGTGAGAATAGTAATAGTAGTAACAATTGACGTAATAAAGGAAGAGTATACAAATTGAATAGACAAAATGAAAAAATTGGTGGAGCCACAGTATGATTAGGGATTACCATAGTTTAGCTTATTATCACCAATGATATTCCTAATTGTGGTGGACTGGATTATGTGTCAGACAGTGGGAAATGAGAAGACAGGGATATCCTGGACTGACGTGAAGAATCTAGAAGACCTGGATTTCGCGTGTGGATGATTTATGTTTGATGTCACACAAAATCGAAGACTTACAAGCGAAAACCGACAAACTGGTCGAAGAAGCAGGCAGTGAAGGCAGGACTCCAGGTGAACATCGACAAGACGGAGGTTATGAAAATAACCAACCAACCAACAACAACAGCAACATTCAGCGCCAATCACCACCATCTGGAGGGATTTGAAAGAGATTATTTCATTCACTTATCTAAGGAGCATTGTCTCAACTACAGGAGGAACCGACGAGCATGTCAAATTGAGAATCGGGAAGGCGAGAAACACATTCATCAAACTAAAACCAATCTGGAAGTCTTCGTCACTCAGCATTAACAACAAAGTTTGGATTTTCAATACAAACGTCAAGTCAGTTCTTCTATACGGATCAGAAACTTGGCGGCGGGTCACAAAGAATATTTTCAACAGCCTGTTGCAGACCTTTATCAACAGCTGTCTTCGATCTACACTGAAGATCAGATGGCCGGAAAGAATCACCAACAAGAAACTATGGGAACAAACAAAGCAAGAACCAATCGCCCAACAAATATACAGGAGAAAGTGGAGATGGATTGGACACTCGCTGAGCTGAGGAGGCCGCTGGGTGACATCGCGCGTCAGGCCATAGCTCGAGTGGAACTCGAAATTTAGGCGGCGAGTGGGACGTCGAAGGGTGACATGGGGAAGAGGAACTGAAACAGTCTGGATTAACATGGATGCAAGTGAAAAGTACAGCAGAAGACAGAAGCAATTGGAGACGTGTAGTTGAAGCCCTATGTTCCACTAGGAACCCGAGGGAACAATAATAATAATAATAATATTGGTAAAATTAACCTCACATAGTTTGCTAGCTCGCTAGTTTTCTAGCCGGGCCTAAGCCCAGGTAAAAAGAGAGGGTTGGGCGTGGGACTAGCGACCCTACATCACAAAACCAATCAAACTGCTACAGAAACTTTAACACACAAGAAAAATGTGATAAATACAAAAAATATAAAAAACAAACATATTCTTCGCTGGATTCGGAGAGGCGACATGACACAACGGGTTGGTGAAAACACACCTTGTGAAGCCAGTCAGCCAGACAGCCGATATGTCTTCTCTTTATGAAAGCAAGAATAAGAATGGAGATGTGGAATGTCCGTTCAGTGTATGAAGCCGACTGGAAAGGCTGTCCAGACAGCCAAGGAAATGAGAAGATATGGTATAGAAGTGCTCAGAATCTGCGAGAGCGGATGGAATGGATGTGGATAATCGAAATTGACAACTGGAGAATCAGTAATCTACTCCGGTTTGGTTATCCAAACAACAACCACGAGCACACTGAGGCAGTGAGTGGCTATCATGATGTTACCAGTGGCAACCAAAGCCCTAATGCAGTGGGAACGAATCTCCTTTTGCAGGACTATGACAGCAAGATTCAACTCAAAACGAATGAAGGTTATAACTATGCAATGCTTCGTACAATGCTACAAACAACACGGAACAAGGAAAATGTTTGCACACAACTACAAACAGTAATGGACAACATCCCAAGTGGCGACTTCAGAATCCTCATGGGCGATATGAATGCCAGCTGAACTGGAAGCAGACAATACAGAGAAAGAACTCATCACGTGTCGAGTGGCTCTCTCCAGTCGAAATGAGTGATAACGGAGAACTCTTCACAGACTTCTGCGCTTTCAATGATTTGGTGATTGGAGTCAGTGTGTACAAGCACAAGGATATACACAAGGACAGCGACATCGATTCCGCATGACGGGAATACCACCAACCAGACAGACTTCATCTCAATGCTGCTCAAGGAAGTGGAGACGCAACCAACCTGCTGGACACAAAGTTGAGAAGGGGAGCAGATGTGGATTCACACCATCACCTAGTTCAAGGAACCTTCAAGGTGAAGTTGAAATCCCTGAAAACAACTGGAGACAGGCCACTGTATTTCAAGTCCAACATTCAGGAACTGAAGGAGAAAAACTACAAGGGATACCTTCACTACAGAGCAAAGTCGAAAGCGTCGGGAGTTGACAAGTGGGTCATCGGAAGGTGAAATGGTGGAGATCTAGCGAGGAGGCGATGAGGGACGTGGACCCAGCTGCAGAGGACAGCAGCAAATAGAAGAAATTGGAGATGTGTTGTTGAAGCCCTACGTCCCACTCGTAACCCAAGCGAATAATAATGATAAATATGTTAAAATCGTCACTAGCACAGATCCTCCACTTTGTTCTGCTTCTGTCTCACCTTCGTATTGTGTTTCGTCGTATTCTTTTTGTGTCTCCCATGATCCACCGCAATACTGGTTGGTTCATTTGCTCTCTCTCTTTCTGATGGGAAATCTATCTCTCCAGTATTTGATATTTTTGTGTACCAATGAGCGTCTCTGTCTCACATACTACTGATAAATCTTATCAGTAGCATATACCACAGCATGACCACAGTTTATACAGTTAATATAATTATGAATATGTATATAAGGTACGCGCGTGTGTCATCAGGATGTCTTAAATGTATTCCACAAATACACATTACCTAATTCAGATAAATTGTGTCTGCCCTTTCAGTTACCGCGTGGTCTAGTGGTTAGGATTCCTGGCTTTCGCCCGGCGCGGGAGCACTTTGTGCGTCGGTGGTATAGTGTAAAGGACGCTCGCCGACCACGTACATGGTCCGGGGTTCGATCCCCGGCCGACGCACT